CTCTATAAATTAATTAAGATTACCGTGCGTATTTGTCTCGTACACAAAGCCGGAAATAGCAATCAGCTGTGCACACGTTTCCCGGCGAACAAGTTCAAACATGCACAATAATATAACGGGATGAATTCTGACGCAGTCGTCAGTAAAATATAATACAGAATACTATTATTTAACCCAAAGAAATATATCCTAGCATTGTGTAATTTTATTTACAGTTTTTATGTAAAATATATATAATCAACACTAAGGTTATACGGACCCTAATGAACGTGGTAAGCAGAAGTTGTACGCACATGGAATGGGGTAAAATACGGAAGCCATTTAAATTCACACATTTTCACCGATGTTACTGTAAACTAGCAGTCAATGGAAAACGAGGCGGTAATCAGTTCGTGATTGTTGAATGGGGTAAAATAAGCAAGCCAGTTTGTTGCTACAATAAATATGATATTTAGAGAAGCAAAATATATTATGCATTTTCTGTCAACTACACTTCGTTTCGATCCGTGAGTAGACACAATATATATGACAGTGAATTCTTTGAATAATGTGGACCAAAGTTATAATTATTGGTAACTGCCAGTTGTCTGTGGTCTGTGTTTGCCGCGATTAGGACCCCATCGCGGGGGATCGACTTATGCACAAAACATACCATTTTGACACTGATTTTAAGGGTCAAGTTTGGGGGTCGTCTTATCCATGGGGTCGTCTTATAGACGGTCATATACGGTAATTATTTCCTTATAATTAGCAAGTCTTGACAGTATGCCATTCTCTTATAAGGACAACCTATTCTTTTTGTTGATATATACTCTTGGAATTATGAATTGAACTAATAATCATTACCTAAGAGAAGTCATGTGAAGGTCCATCCTGTTTTTCTGTGTGTTAATTCAAGACCTTGACTCAGCATTCAGCAACATAACTATGACTTGCTTCATCATCTGAATCTATGAAATATTTGCCTTGTTGAACCAAAACATCTATTTTGTTGAAAGTGACACAGAGTTTTGTTAGTTGTTACATACTTATTATCCCCCGCAACGCATTCTGCGGGGGGTATTAAAATGGACTCCGTCCGTGCGTGCATCCGTCCGTCCGTCCGTGCACATTTGTCTTTTCCGGAGCAGAACTCTAAAACCGTTCAAAATTTCTTCACCAAACTTGGCACATACATGGATCTGGTGGTGTACTTGTGCCTTTTGGTATTTTTGGAATTCTGAATAAAATATTTTTGGCGTTTCCATGGCAACAAGTTTGACTTTGACTGAAATTAGTGGTAGTGCTCTTTTCCGGAGCAGAACTCTAAAACCGTTCAATATTTCTTCACCAAACTTGGCACATAGATAGATCTGGTGGTGTACTGGTGCCTTTTGGTAGTTTTGAAATTCTGAATAAAATATTTTTGGCGTTTCCATGGCAACAAGTTTGACTTTGACTGAAATTAGTGGTAGTGCTCTTTTCCGGAGCTGAACTCTAAAACTGTTCACTATTTCTTCACCAAACTTGGCACATAGATAGATCTGGTGGTGTACTTGTGCCTTTTAACTTCGTAGACATAATCATGAAGAGTATTTTGCCATTGCGGGGGATATTGATGACTTTGTTTTCTTGTTTACTTTTAGGATAGCAATACAGCCGTGTAATACTGCGAGCATAGCCAAATTCCGTATTGCACTCCAATTTCCATTTTGCATGGCTGCCCGATCAACTTTTTCCAATGTTCGCAGTACTAAGTTTTGTTTTTCTGTAAACATCTGAATTTAGACATTATTTAGGTTTCAGCCATTTTTTACCATTTTAATGAGATCTTTAATTAGGAGATTGTTTTGTATCAAATATTATTTTGTTTTGTTTCCCTTTCGTGATCAGAACCTGGCACTTGATTGATGATATCTGAATGTGACCGTCATGTCATATGTCCCTTGAGTTATTTAAGGTCGAGGTCGAGGTAACCTCAATGTAGAGGTGTCAGTAGTGATGTATAGAGTTAGATTAAAACAGTCCGTCGTGCACTGGGTATGTAATAAATACAGAATGTCATACTGGTGCATATGTACCTGAGAAGATGTCGTATTATAGTGTTTGCATAGACTAATGCTTAGTCTCTGAATATATATAATTTTGATAGTAACAAATAAGCCCATTTAAATTGAAAAGGAGCCCAAGGCAGACCAGAGATCCTGAACCTGGGGAAATCTAGACTTGCTTTATTTTGGGCTTTAGCACTGCAGAGAGGGCTTCGCAGTAGGGAAAATAATGTGGTTCAGGGACTGTGAGACAGGCTAGTGTTTGCAGTGAAAACGTACCAACGAATTTCTCTTTAAGCAAAAAAGTAAATCAAAGTGAAATTAAGATTGTGAATCGTCATAATTTTACCTTGCCAATTGAACATTTAAGTCTGAGAATTTTATTCAGCTTAGGATAAAAGTTGTTTAACAAACAATCATAGTTTCAAATCGCTATTATTTATTCAATTTACTTTTTTGTTAAAAGTGAAATCCATCAGTAGGTTTTCACTGCAAACAGACTATAGGAGAGAAACAACATGTTCTTAGAACATCCTCTCATTCAATACATATGGTCCAGGGACCTTTTCTCGAAACTTTCGTAGCCCTAAGAATTCTTAACTTTGATCATAGCCAATGTGTTAAGAATGGGTTTGAATAGTTCATAGGGTTACAAACTTTTCGAGAATAGATAGCCAGATGCACCAGTATGATGCTTTTAATTTCTGATAGGAAAATCAATGTGAAATTGTCATGGAAACATAATTTCTATTTTATAACTATTTGTGTTTATAAACTATAGCTGTTGATCTGATACAATGGCTGGGCAAATAACTGCAATACATCAATTGTACACTGTGTCTTTACACCTACAGTAACCAGCATGCTACTGAACATGACCCTGAAACTTTTCTCATTATCACTATAGTTGAGTCGAGTTGGGCCTCCAGTTACAATTTGGCATTTTCAGCCATATAGTGACGAGAACAAGTCTGCATTAATAAACATTCAGTACAAAGTCCAAATGAGTTTAATTCAAAAACATATATTCATTTCATTGTCATTTAAAAGCAGAAAATGTCATAGCACTAAATTCAAAAAGCACGTTATTCACATTACACAGTTACAATTCATGAAACAGACCAACTTCCCTCAGGTAGTTAACAATCAGATGCCAGCTCACGCAGGAAAACAGATCTTTCAGATGTGTCGCATCATAATGTGAATCCCTTGCAGTCGGAAAGTCCTCACAGTCAAGCAGAATATGCTTGATGGTGAACACTTCATCGCAAGAGACACACATGGGAGGTCCATCCCCATCTGTTTTCAGCAGATAGTCATGAGTAAACCGACTGTGGCCAATACGACATTGTCGTACATCACATCTTGACTGACAACCCAAGTAGTTATAACCAATTGTCGGTTACAGTTCATGAAGTTTATTTCATTATGACTATAAGCGTGTCCAAAGCTGTAGCTAAATCTTCTGAACTTTACTCTCGTCACAATATGGCTGAGATATTGCCGATGTGACTTAAATATTAACTCACTCACTCTGAACTTTACTGATTCAGTTATCTCACTGACAATCATCTACATGAGGCAGTAAATGTAATATTATCCAGCCAAAGATCAAGTTAATATTTGAAAGTTTTGTTGAAGTTTTGTTCAGGTGACAGTTTTTACAGAGATCATAAATTGCTTAGATAGAGCAGAATGACCTTGGAAAGCCCTTGAATGGTTGTGTTTACTTGAGGTTCAAGCATATATAGAGAACGTTATGGTGGAGTTCCAGTTTGTACTGACAGGGTACCATGATAACCTTTCTATCAGCCTGTCAGACGTCCTGGCAAGTCAATACCACACTTAATAAGCTTCATCCCCAGACAATCTTGTGCTCCCGTCTGTCACTTGTCATCAGATGTTTTAAGGTTCATGGTTGCTGATCAATTTCTCCACCGAAGTGGGAGATTTGTATGCCTCATTTTACATATCTATGCTTATTCTTTGTATATCTACATGAAGAATTCCCTTTTGAGACTGTGTTTGTTAAGGATGTATGTATGTTTTATTCACCAAAACCACATGTAGCACTTGGAGATGGACATTTTGTATGCCTGGTTTTACATAACTAGAGATACTCTTTGTATTTCTATACATGTAGAATTCCATTTTGAGACTATGTGCAGATTTCTGATAAATATATGTTTTATTCACCAAAAATACTTGTGGCACAAGGAGATAGAGCTATATAAGCAAATATCTCATATGAGAATGCCTGATTAAATGAGTTGAATAATTCTGTGTAAAATGTAATAAATTCCATATATGTGAATGCAAAATGTACCACTTCAGATGTCATAGTTGTCCTTTCATGGGCACTATCCCTTTGGAAATGACTGCTTTAGTAGTTAGTATCTGAAGCCCATGTGCCATTTTTAGCTCTCTTCTGTATGTTAGCTCCATGTTGACTGCATGTTGGTGAGTATGCACGTAATGATCATAGGTGTACCTGAATCATAATAGAGAAGGGATCAAGAGTTTGCAGTCTTCTTTCTCAGGTCTTGTCTCATGTCTGGACATATCTTATCCTTGCATACCGATCCCCAGATTATGAGGAGGAGATGAATGTCAGTTTGATTTGTTGACAATTATCTGTTGGAAAGTTCTTTACTTGTTGTCGGTTATGCGTTGGCAATGTTGGAAAGTTGTTTCCTTGTGGACTGATTCCCTTAGGCATTGTTTTAAACTTCTGTTTTACTTGCAGACCGACTCCAATAGGCATGGTTGGACATTTTTGTTTTACTTGCAGACCAATTCCATAAGGCATGGTTGGGAAGTTTGGTTTTACATGCAGACGGATTCCAACTGGCATTGATGGAAAGTTTGGTTTTTCTTGCAGACCGATTCCATAAAGCATGGTTGGAAATTTTGTTTTACTTGCAAACCGATTCCATTTGGCATTGCTTTAAACTTCTGTTGTACTTGCAGACCGTTCTCCAGATGTTGACAATGACTCTGACGAAGAGGATGTCCATGACTTCAATGACCAGGACTTCTCCTCCAATGATGAGATGAGCGACATTGAGCCCATGATGCTGGAGGAAGATGGCCGACCGAGACCTAGGAAGACCAGTCGCAGCAAGATACGACCGGTTACATCTAGGGTAAGACACAGTCCAGTTTATAGGCATGAAAAGGGTTAATAACTGAGATGAAGGAGGCATGCATCTTTTTGTCAGTGAAAATGATATTTTGACAGGCAATAGTTTTATATTATTATATATTTAATACTGAAGTGATCAACTTGTAGCAGATGATCCATCTCTTGTTGTCTAACAAGGTGTGGTGGGTAGCCTACTAGTTAAAGAATTCGCTAAACTCTCTGAAGACCCGGGTTCGGTTTCCCACATGGGTGCAGTGTGTGATGCCCATTTCTCGAATCCCCCGCCATGATATCAATGGAAAGTGACACAAAACCTTACTCAGTCACTGAAGTCAACTTATGCAGGGTACAGAATGACAGTTTAGAGAGGCCCTAAAAAATGGTCCCTAAAATCAGTGTTTACGGCTCTGGACACAAATGCGTGTGCTCGATATTTGCTAAAATGAGACTTCAGCACAAATAGAAACAGGCATACAAAATATTCTTGAAACTGTTGAATGATTTGTTTTCGACGATGTCTCCATATTTTGTTAATTATCTACTTTCAGCAACGGAATATTAAACAGAGGTTCATAGCTTTACTGAAGAAGTTCAAGGTTTCAGCAGAAGATGTAAGTTGATCCCAAAAAACAAACCTTGCATGTTTATGCTTTATTTGCTGTGAATCTCTGTTAATCTAGGTCTATTTGTATCAAAGTTTGGATGCCATACAGGAATTAATTAATTCTAACCTTAACAGTATAGAAAGAGATTGTGTTATGATCGCCCTATAGAACAGGGATGCAAATTTGCACAAACCTGGTAATCAAACTCAGTTTGCCACTTCCTACAAGTCTCAACCCATGAAGATCTGGGTTAGAATTTGTCTTCAGAAAACCATGCTTGTCATAAGAGGTTGCTAACAGGACTGACTTGGTTGATGCTTATTATCATATGCCAAATGTGTGTTCCAGTGCAAACTGACCGCCTTCGTGGTGTAGTGGTTAGAGCGTCCGCCCGGAGAGCGGAAGGTCGCGGGTTCGATCCCCGACCGCGTCATACCAAAAGACGTTAAATTATGGGTACTTGTTGGTCCCTGTCTGGCGCTCGGCATTAATGGGTACAAGGACTGGTCGGCTCGGAGTCAGTATAATGTGTCTGAGTGGGGTATTCATGCTTCACTGCGGCATGGTATCTCAGTGGGCTAGCACTATAAAAACCAGCTTAAGTCTGGGCTAGTACAAGCAGACGCACATACACATACACACGCACGCACATCGTCATATGAGCGAAATATTCTCAAGCACGACGTTAAACCCAATTTCACCTCACCTCCAGTGCAAACTGATGATGATCAATGCAGACTTGCCACATCCTAAGTTCACCATATACCTTGTAAAACAGTGTGGTACCGTGTAAACGTGCAAGGTTTGAATAGACAACAATGTTTTCTCTTTGTGTTGTAGGTATTGGACTCTGAGGCAGACCATGACCTCAACGACCCTGACAACACACCCGGTGACATCGACGACCTTCTAGATCAGTGGGATGACATGAGTGACAGTGGCCCTGAGCTGGACACCATGAGTGTCATGTCAACACCAAAACCAAGACTCAGGTAACAGGGGGATGTTCAATGAATGGATGAAAAAAGATTACCTCAGATCCTGCTGTTAAGCTAGTTTCACATTAGGGGCGGTGGGGTAGCCTAATGGTTAAAGCGTTCATGCGAAGATCGCCACATGGGCACAATGTGAAGGCCCATTTTGTGAAGGTTCAAATCCCCACATGGGCACAATGTGTGAAGCCCATTTCTGGTGTCCCCCGCCGTGATATTGCTGGAATATTGCTAAAAGCGGCGTAAAACCAAAGTCAGTCAGTCAGTCAGTTTCACATTAATCTAATAACCTCTTCTATGGGCAGGCTTTCTGTGAAAAAAGTACATCAACATAAACAGGTCCAGTACGCAGTAATGGTCAGATGTAGTTATAATTAAAGGCCATTGCAGTTAAAAGTTACAACAAACTCTAAAGGACCACTAGTATTAGTTCATTTTAAGACCAGACCCATTTTATTTCTTGTTTTACAGATTTTTGTCCTCAGAAAACCTAAAGGCAGGAGTGGGGAAAAAAATCACCAGTCAAAGTAATATTCCTAAGTATTTTACTTTTGGCAATTTATGAAGTGTATATGGGGCAAAAGACAATTTTTTAAAAATTGGGTAAGTTTACATTTTTGGCCAATAAAAACATTTGGATTTTATTTTTTGAGCAGGGAATTTTTTTCTTTTCTTATTCTTGAAAAAATATGTAAAACAAGAAATCAAATTGGTCTGGCCTAAGTATAGTTTTTAATACACATTTCGACTAAAATATAAAGAATGTTTCCTTGACCAAAACAGTTTCTTCTATCTGTCAGTTCATTATAAGCATAGCTTATTGTATTTGCAAATGAATAATGAATCCTAGAACAAAACTGATACCCAGGACCAACACTGAAATAGATAAATCAAACAAAAGATACCCAATGTAACAAGAACAGTGTGTACTGAAGAACGTTGGCATGCACTAAAGGAGACCAAATGCTGAAAGACAACACTTGGAGTTAGCTAGATGAATTAGTCATTTTTGCGTATGAATGAAGTGGATACAGACTAGGTCACACTCACAGAGCACAAAAATAGTATCAGCTGGAGACAGTGTTTGACCAAACTATGTGTCAGCATAATCATTCGGCTGAGATCTGTGCTCATGCTGTCAACCACTGCTTCATCCTATTTGATTATTAGTGAGTGAGTGAGTTTGGTTTTACCCGCTTTTAGCAATATTCCAGCAACATCACGGCGGGAGACACCAGAAATGGGCTTCACACAATGTACCCATGTGGAGATTCGAACCCGGGTCTTCGGCATGACGAGCCAACGCTTTAACCACTAGGCTACCCCAATCCCTTCTGATTATTAAGTGGTTTCAGTGTTATTGACTACAACTCAGAGTAAGGCACCAAAAAAATATATGTCCGTTTCCTATTACATGCTTTTAAAAAATAGGGTAGGTGGGTCGGTTTTATCTTCTTTTTTTTTTTTTTTTTTTTTTATTTCTTAGTGGCACCAGGTGGGCACCTGAGGTCTTCAAGAGTACCATCATGTAGTGACAATGCCTTATGATGAAACATTGAAAGATTTCTATATCAAATCATTATTCATGTTATTTATCTGCAGATTTGGTCAGTGAGGACCCATTATGCCAATTCAATACAATCCATTTTAGCCCTACGTACACTGAAAAACATGAAAATATCATACTCGATTTGGATGAAAATGATGAATTGAAATGCAGTCCAGTCATGATATTGACTTGGTTAAATAAAGATTTAGGGTTGGTCGGGTTACCGGAAACGGACATATATTTTTTGGCCTAAGGTATCCAACATCCTCTGAGTGAGGCACCTAATCACCAGTACACAAAGTCAGCCATCTAACCCACTCAGCTACCGACATACTGGTAGTCAAGACTACAGACTTTGTGTAGCCTCTGATACATTTGACCACTTTCTAAATGGCTTTATGTATTTTGTAGTGTATGAAGACTGACTTAAACCTTTATAAACCCTACCATAGATCCAATATCTTCATGGGAAGATTTACAATCTACAAAACATGTATCACACAAGAAACTTTAATCCAACTGTGCTTTTACTGTGTACATATTGACCTTTGCTATTTATCTGACAGACCCTTCTTCACCGGGAGAGGAAGCACCCATGAATCAGATGTCTCAGCACCAAAAGTCCAGGTGGGTTTTCTTGAACACCTGGGCACCGTTTCACAAAGCTCCTATACTGTCATAGGAAGCCACGAAGCCTAAGATCTTAGGGCTTTAGATCTGGGTTGTAAGTGTTGCCAGTCAATTTTCCTTCATTAGACTGTCCAGAATCCTCCTATACTGTAACATAGGAAGTTCCTTCCCTTAGACTGTCCAGAATCTAATGCTACCGACCTGGGAAAGTGTTGCCAGTCAATGGGCAGATCTTAATCTACAGGTTACTGAGATCTGGGTTGTAAGTGTTGCCAGTCAATGGGCAGAGTTCCTTCCCTTAGACTGTCCAGAATCAACAGGTCATAGGTTGAGATCCTGAACACCTGGGTTGTAAGTGTTGCCAGTCAATGGGCAGAGTTCCTTCCCTTAGACTGTCCAGGATCTACAGGTCATAGGTTGAGATCCTGAACACCTGGGTTGTAAGTGTTGCCAGTCAATGGGCAGAGTTCCTTCCCTTAGACTGTCCAGAATCTACAGGTCATAGGTTGAGACCCTGCAGTTCCATCACCCTGAACACCTGGGTTGTAAGTGTTGCCAGTCAATGGGCAGAGTTCCTTCCCTTAGACTGTCCAGAATCTACAGGTCATAGGTTGAGATCCTGCAATCACCCTGAACACCTGGGTAGTAAGTGTTGCCAGTCAATGGGCAGAGTTCCTTCCCTTAGACTGTCCAGAATCTACAGGTCATAGGTTGAGATCCTGCAATCACCCTGATTATTTTTCATATTTTAGCAGCACAACGGCCATGTTATGACTGATACATAATTTCATAATTTTTTTGCACAATGATCTGTAGCTGCATCAGTCTTGCTAGATTTAATGCACATTCTGAATAGTCTGTCAATTCCTACCTGTGAAGATCCAGGTTAGACTTAGTCTTCAGTAAGCCATGCTTGTCGTAAGAGGTGGGTGGTCAGGCTCGCTGACTTGGTTGACATGTGTCATTGTATCCCAATGGCGTAGACCGATGCTCATGCTGTTGATCACTGGTCACATAATGGTTGTTGAGTGAAATTAAGTGTCTGAGGTTATCTGCAGATTACAGCTTTGGTTTAGAGATACATTTGATAAGACAGATGGGTAAATATCAAAATTATATATGATGTTCAAAGGGAAATTACAATTATTGTCATTACATTTCACTCAAAAAGGCTTTGAATTGCAGTTAATGTCTTTTCATCAGGAAAAAAATATGATTTCTGTACAAAAAGTATGAGTTGTAATTGCAGGAATCCTTCCGCCTGAGTGATGACAACGTGACCCGACGACTCGACAACGACGGCAACATTGTGAGTATGAGTGCTGCTTGGTGTATCGTGTGTCAGTCTCGTAGATGGTTGGTCCTAGAGTCCCCAGTGTTGTCCTCTCTCCATATTAGATGCAGTAGGGTTTCCTGGATGTTTCAATGTGCAGTACTCACATGTAGATCCAAGTCGAGGCTGAATGATTCACTGAAATAGTATACTTTGCTTTTTTCAAAGCTTTTTCAGTTGAATATTTGTTATTTTCCTCATGAATTAAAAAATTCTGTTGCACTTTTGGTGAGGCAAGTCAGTTTGTGTTTGGTTATCATTACTATCAGTTTAATGACAGATTTAGTGATTCTAAAGAATCAGGTGTACTTCATCTGTATCTTATCATTTATTGAATTCAAAGATGGCCGCTTTGTCAGTCATCTTGGTTATGACTCTGTTATGAGTTATTTACGATATTGCATGTGCAGCTTTAATTGGTGTTTGAGATATGGAATCTATGGAAGCCATTTTAGAATATGGCAGAAATGCCATGAAAGTTTCTTAAGTATGATTTATTTTATAAGGGTACTGCAGGGGTGGAAATAACCCATTGCCCGACGTCCGAGTCCAGTGTTTTTTTCTGTCGGGCAAGCACATTTGTATATCACGCTGTACCAGTGTCCGGTTTACATTCCAATGTTAATTATGTTGCTTATATAAAAAAATCACCAAAAAAATCGGCCAGTATAGCGGAAAAATTATCAGGGCAAGTGATTTTACATGTGCCACTGTACCGGAGTACACTAGCAATTTTAAAGTTATTTCCACCCCTGGTACTTATTACATTCTGAACATGGTGGGGAAAAGCAAGACAGTTCCTGTTCAGTGCTAAGGCAATATGTGCTCACTCTGTATGAAAATAATGACACCAAAGGCTGGCTAATTCCTGAGAAGCAGGCTACTTGCAAAGGTTAAATCTTGCTGGACAATCGCAGTAGCTGACATCAGGTAGCTGTAACATTGATCTGATAATATTATAATCTGATTTGGTGGAGAGGAGAATTTCTGACCTTCCTTGACACACATAAGGCTGACTCTTTTAGATAAGTAAATTCAATATATTGGTACCTGTTTGTATTAACTGCTGATTAGTAAATGATCAATTAAATCCCTTTCCTTTGAATGTGTGAAGAGAAAGTGTAGTTGGCATGGGGCCCTTTAGGGGTTGGACTGAATGCTTCAGCATAGTGGCTGTCAATTGTAATGTGATGTATTACAGTTATTGAATATCTTAAATTAAGGTTTAGATTGAAGGAGCATCAGGCATTTCAACGCTTTTTGAAAATCAACATGGTTTGGTGGCTGTGAAGTTTTGATGTGCATGATTTCAAAGCTTCCTTATTTCCAAGGAAACCAACTCTTTTTAATATTTACTTCATGTGCTCTCAGTTACAACAACAGAAAAGCCTCATTTCTTTCTCATTGTTTTTAAGGACTGGTCGGCTCGGAGTCAGTATAATGTGTCTGAGTGGGTATTCATGCTTAACTGCGGCATGCTATCTCAGTGAGCTAGCACTATCAATCCAGCTTAAGTCTGGGCTAGTACAAGCAACCACACATACACACGCATGCACGTCGTCATACGAGTGAAATATTCTTATGTACGGCATTAGACCCCATTTCACCTCACCTCCTCATTGTTTTTGAAGATATGGGGCCCTGTCATGGTACAGTTACTGTTCAGGGTTGCATCCCATTCCCAATCCAGTAGTCCTGGGTTCAAGTCCCTGTTCATCATGATTATGTTTCTTGGTTTGTCAGCACCATACCAGCGCTCATGGGTTTAACCAAAATGGTAAATGCCTAGGACCTGCATTACTCCAGGTTTTCTTCCCACATTAAGCAGCCATGCAGCAATATGACTTATATACTCAAAGCACTGTTCAACACAACTCACTCAGACCTGAGGTTATTCAGTATTAATGGTGCATAAATATGTTATGATTTTTTTTTCTGTGAGTATAGTATGTTCCTTCAAGCATGGTATATTTTGATTGGAAGAATTCGAGGGCAGAATAAGTGTTGTAAAAATGTAGCAAAATAGAGATTTGCTGTTTTGGCTTAATGCTCCTATGGTAACACCAGCTCTGAACTTTTTCCATAATATCTTGATGTATCATCTTACCCGGGCAGCAAATTTTGGTGTTCATGCTGTCGATCACCTGTTTGATTGCTCCTGGGCAGAATGAACTTTTTATGCAGAATCATCTGTAATTGCTGACTTGAGGTGGTGGGTGTAGTGTAGTGCCTAAAGCATTCACTCAGCACAAGTAGATTTCTCACATGGGAACAATGATTGAAGCCTTTATCTAAACCTTCCTTAAATATAGCTGACTTTAATGATATGCTACTCAAACAAAGTTAAGGTCCACCATATTTCTTCATATCAATATCGGATGGACCTTAACTTTGAGTAGTATATTTCCAATTCTCAGTCAGTATGTCACTTGCCTGCCTTATTCTATTGAGAATTTGATATTTTGCCACTGTTTCCAGAAGCTTTGAAATGTCTGTGTTCCTGACTTAATCCATTAACATAGATGATAAGTTGCCTTATTCAGGTGATTCAGCCTGAGATTGTTTAGCAGTGGCTGCTGCTCCGTTGTGTGACATTGTTGACTTACTGATGTATGTTTCCCTGCATGACATGCTCCTCTTCCATTGCTTGTGTTGGTTCTACGTGTGTGTGCAAACCAGGAGCAAGATGTGGAAATATCTGATTCGCAGACTCCCTGTGAGTCGTCCCCCAAGACCATTACCCCACTCCTAAAACACAGGGGCATGCGATTCGTTCGGGAAAGGAGCACATCGTACCGCGAGAAAAAGAGCAAAAAGGAACACAAGATGATCGAGAGACGCAACAGTGCCGGAGGGTCAGACGACGTGGTCAGTTATTGGTAGACTTCCTGTCATGCTCACAGTGCTGCTGTATGACAAGCTTTGTATGCGACCTTGACCTGCACATGCTTACTGACATTGTAGTGTAGCCTCAGTTTGATATCTAACCTCTGTTACCCTCAAAATTACAGTCTTGATCTCTATCTGAATGATTCATAGAATAGCTTGCTTTTACGATTTTACAGGATAAGTCTGACCTTATTTCAATGAAGTGCATCGTCACAGCAGTTGTTACAACTTGCTTCAGTTGGTAATTCTCACTCAATGCAAGGTGGTGAGTTAGCAGGAAGCTCGACAGAGTTACCTCTCTTTCTTCAGTCAATGCATGACAATTGTATCATGTGCATCATGGTGAAATTTAGTTAAAGATTGTAATTATCAACTGATGTCATCAAGCAGATAACGATGAAGACTATGAGATTGAGAGTATATTGTTTGTGTATCTAGATACAGCCAGCGATGGCTCTCCTTGTGTGTGGTGATCTCTGTGTGGACCTAACATCATCCCCTGCTAACATCAGTGTCTCCTGACAACTCTTTCTGTGAATATTCTGACAGAAACCAAACTCAGGGTGTCAGGTTTTGTATCCTAATTTGTAAATAAATGCCTGTTTTGTTGTTAAGTTTGATTTCAGTTTATGTGAAACTTATTAGAGGAAAGGATTATGAGGAGTGCCAACTGGTGTCTAATTCTTTGTGCTGCAGTGCATAAGAATTGTCTTCAGGACAGATGTAGGCATGAAGGTGAAGGTCAGGTTGGGGTTGGAAAGTTCAGTTAATGCCTGCATTGTCTTTCAATGTGACAGGGTATTTAATTTGTTAGTATATTATGACCCTCTTTACTGTTATGTAATTTGTACTACCAACCCAAGAACATCAGATTTTGCAATTAAAAGATTTGACTTTATGGTAAAAACTGAGACGATGTGACTCTTTCAAAAATTATTAATTTCCGCTATAAATGAAAAAACATCTATTGTTTGATACAGTACTATTTGATGTTTAATTTCAAAATTGTCTCAGTGGTTACAGAAATGGTATGATTTTCATGGAATTAATTGATGTCACCATTTGTAGATCTGGTTATGAAATATGAAACAAAACGGTCAACATTATTTGTGACCGTATAAAATGTCCTAAACTAACAGCTTATTGAAAATTGTAATAAGTTTTGTGAACAGGAGTCTTCAGAAACGTTTTCATCCCCAAGATGGTGGTGTGTGTAAAAGATTGTTTGAGTGATGTTGCTACTGTGATGTTGGGACGAGGGCTAGTGTTGTATGTTGAGGTGTGTGGATTGTTCAGGTGTTGCAGTGTAGAGGTCAGCCTTGTCGCCCTGTATGTCATCTGGTTATGGAATCAAGTTATCTGTGCTAGGTGTAAGGGTATAGCAGTATTGTTTATCTATACATTGTTGCCTTGGTTACAAGCAATGCCAAATATTATTATCAATATGTTAAATGGTAAAACTTCATGTTAAATTATTATGTTTCTTTTTTTCATTATTTCCATTTTGTTTCTGTAAGCTTGGTGTGTTGATTACTATGAGTGTTTTGGACATATCTGTGAGTGCAAAGATTATTTCTGCTGTTGCAGCATTGCACCATTGGTTGAAGTTCAGTGTTCCCTTTCTAGCACAGTAGTACTAGATTACTTCAGTTGTTGGTCAAGTTACGTTGCGATAGATTTTTATGAATCAAATACATAAAAGTGTTTTTATTCGCAGATCTACAGTAAATACCATTATGAAATGTAGTGATGAAATACTATCTTTGTCTGAAATATACTGAAGAATAAGGACTATTTTTATGGATGTACAACTTCTTTATTCTATATACCCGGTAGGCGACGTGTACTGCTCAAAAAGTTTGGGATCTTGAATATTTTTCGGGAAATTTGTATCGATTATGTGCTCAGTGCTCACTACGGAAAAAAAATATCCTTGAAAATATTCATGATTCCTAACAGTTTTTATTCAATACATAAAGATCTGTATTACACTTAATACATGTTGGAACCACTTTCACTGTGCTTTGATGACAATGTTTATAGATATAGAGCAGTAAGAAAACACATAACTGAAGGAAGATTTAGCCTTTCTTGTCAAATTATGTGATTTTATCGTCTTGTGTTATTGCCGTTTCCATTCATGAGAGAAAACAATTTGTCTTGAAAAGATAAGTATATTATCTGGAAAGATAAGCCATATATCCACATGAATCTCTTGGCTCCATGGAAATGTTTTTGGTTTTTATCAAATGTTTCTAGTCACAGATACTGGTCTGTCCAAAATTGGTCACTTTCAGGCTCCAGTGAAATACCATATCTCTTCTGTTAGACATTCCTATTTACCATACATGGATGCCAGGCTGCTCTGTCCACAAATTAGAAGCTTGAATTAGAAGTATGTGTACAACTCAAAAGAAGTAAAGAACACTTAGGATTAAGGATTCTTAAATATAACTATAGTGTCTGACCGATGAACTATCATTATTTGAAGGATTCAGGGGCCTTTAACTTCTTTTAAATTGGATGTAATAAATGTTATTGCTAGGGATATTGATGACCATAAGGACAAATAACAGTAATCTACTGAAGGAGGATAGTACTATACAGAAGGTTTAAGTTTTCAAAATATGTCTACTTAATTCTGTTAGTATTGATTGAATATTGATGAATATATTCACCATTACCTGATTCTGAACATATTTTGTCTAAACGTTGATGGAAACCAAGGCCATTGAGGAATGCATACTTGATTTTCTCCAAACATGGTGTATCTATAAGAGCTCTGTGTAAGGAGTGAAGTTGCCCTGCATGGACTTGTGATGGTGCCGTGTATCACAGAATGTTGGACCTAGACTTCACCTGTAGCAGCACCTGTCGGCTCCAGTCTCTGCATGCTTCATTTATCATGGAGGATCACTGTACCAAGAGCTACCAACAAGTGCCAGTTTCAAACATTATCTTAGCGTTATGATGATCGTCACTTTCATACCTTAACACAGACTTCCGGCAGTTGTACTGCTGAGGTTTTGTGAAACAGTATCCTCATCATTTTGAAATTGAAAATTACATTTTTTAACAGTGATACAGGGAAGACTAGACTGGCTGTGCTTTTGTGTTAAGTTTTGCAAGTTATTGTAATCTTATTGTGTTCAAGCAGTGCAAATCAGCTGTTGCAGTTTCTAATTTTGCTCTCATGGTGATCATGATTATTCCATCACATTCAGTACTCCAAATTTGTTTGAACCAAAGTACACATGACATGCTTTGATTGGCATTCTAGAAGTTAGATGAAGGATGAGGACTATTTTTATGGATATACAACTTCTTTATTCTGTATAGGCGACATTTCGACATAGATTCTAATGTTGTTGTCAAGCAAGTGATACTTGCTTGACAACAACATTAGAATCTATGTCGAAACGTTAGAATCTATGTCGAAACGTCGCCTATACAGAATAAAGAAGTTGTATATCCATAAAAATAGTCCTCATCCTACACATGACCTTCAAAGAGAAAATGTTCAGTGGGAAAACATCTTAATGACTATTAAAATTCAAGATTTGTAGGATCTGATGATATTGAAAGTACATGTATGTTGAGATTTCATGTGTTAGATATTCTTTGCGTACTTGTATGTATGAAGCTGTCCATCATCAAATCACGTGTTCATGATGTGTGTGCGACACTGTAATAGGCACTCTGGTGTGGCATCCTGTCGTGCATTTATAGACTCTCTAGTCGTGACCCTCTTTCTGGCACAGACGTGTTACCTGTGAGTTGTATATGTAGTAATCTCATGTGACTGTCATGTGACACTCTCCATCTGGCAGTCATGTGACCTGTAAGTTGTATCTATGGTGACTCATGTGACTGTCATGTGACAAGTGTACAAGTACTGTCTCTCATCTTTACAGTATACCTCTTCTGATGACATCAGCACACAAGTCTTCAACTCTCAAGTGCTTTGGATGTTATATATTACTCAAAAGAACTTAAAGCATAACAGATTAACAATAATAGTATGAAAGACTCAGGTTGTCCTTAACTTCTTTTTTGTAGTATATAAAAATATAGTCATTGTAAAGCGTTTGAATCTCATTTAGATGTGATATACACAAGAGAGAAAATTTAGGGATGTCAGCTTCATTATTATAAGGGGACAGTGGGGTAGCCTAGTGGTTAAAGCATTTACTTGTCATGCTGAAGACCCAGGTTTGATTCCTCATATGGGTCCAATGTGTGAAGCCCATTTCTGGTGTCCCCTGCCGTGATATTGCTGGAATATTGCTAAATGCAGAGTAAAACTAAACTAACTCATTCACTCATTTTATTATTAGGAACAGAATGTTCGAAGTTTATGCTTATTTCTTCATTACTTGATAGTACACTTTGAAACATTGGGTTCCCTGTGATAAGGAAGCTGACATAAATTCTCTCCCTTATTGTCATTCTTGTTTGTTTATTCTGCAATGACATGATTTTCATTTTGTCCAGATAGGTCTTGTGGTTTGTTCAAACCGGCCGTGTACAAGGAATATATTAATATTATTATCTGTAGATATTGTCTCATTTTGTCTATCTACTGTTTCTCAGAATGTAATTTGAATTTTGACAAATGTAATGGTGGACGGACTTGTAAAGGTGACCTGGTCGTATGTAATCTATCAACATCCTTGATGTAATCTCCCATTTGGTGAAGGGATTGCAGGCAATTCTGTATCCTGAGTCTGTCGACTATTAATGTATCGTCTTCCTAAAACATTGATACTTAAATCTTCTAACGTTTTATAGTGTAACCAATATCAAGAACCCCCTGTACCCTTTATTCATAGATCACAGTGGCCCAGTCATTTATGGAGCTGCAGATTGATGTACGGAGTTGTGTCCCTTGGACATGCCAGGAACCTATAATCATGGCTTCACCCCTAATATGTTTTTCAGTTTGTAAACACCATACCTGTGCTTGTAGGTTTCATGAAAAAGTAAACATGTGAGACCGTCATCACTTCAGGATGTACCCCCACATTAAGCTGGCGCCGTGATATAACTGGAAAACTTTCATAGCGTTACTCACCAACCTACTCACTCCTAAATAAAACTGCTAATATTAATTAGTGTAACCGAAATTATGACCCCAAGTACTCTTTGTCCATCAATTATTGTAATATTTTCCTGGCTCCAAGCACCATATATATATAGCAGGGTATGTTTCATGATTTCTATTTCAGCTAGATTTCTTGTGAAAGAAAAATTGCCATTTCTGTGCTTGTAGATGGATGAAGCACAAATTTTGTTATGTAAATATTTGATTGGTTTCATCTATAGTTATGTATGCAAATGGAAGTTCATTTTCTCATTTAGCTGTGGTATGTTTGCGAAGTTCATTTTCTCATTTAGCTGTGGTATGTTTGCGAATGTCTTTTGTTGTTCTTCTATTGCTGTTTTGGTGCATACGTGTTGAATGGAGATGTTATGTGTTTGCAGCCAAGGAAAGCTCTCCTCGATCAGCTCAGTACTGTGTTGGGAAATGGAGACGACCGTCTGCCAGAAAGCGTCTTCCTCATCAATGCTGCCGAGTGGCAAGGACAGGTACTGTTTTTTGAGACTCTCTACCCTGTGAAGGTTTGGATCAGATTTGTCTTCAACAACCCATTCTTGTTGCAAGAGGCGACATACAGATTCAGGTGACTGGTTTGATGCCTGTCACCATATCGGAAGTGCATAGATCGATGAGCATTCTGTTCTTGGCTTAAAGGTGATGATGCCAAAACCTTATCACAATGGGATGTTCTTTAGCATTTTTATCCCCCGCAACGCGTTTTGCGGGGGGTATTAAAATGGAGTCTGTGCGACCGTGCACATTTTTTTCGGAGCATAACTCTAAAACCGTTCAATATTTCTTCACCAAACTTGGCTCATAGATAGATCTGGTGGTCTACTGGTGCCCTTTGGTAGTTTTGGATTTCTGAATAAAATATTTTTTGCGTTTCCATGGCAACAAGTTTGACTTAGACTGAAATTGGTGGTAGTACTCTTTTCCGGAGCAGAACTCTAAAACCGTTCAGTGTTTCTTCACCAAACTTGACACATAGATAGATCTCGTGGTGAACTGGTGCCTTTTGGTATTTTTGGATTTCTGAATAAAATATTTTTTGCGTTTTCGTGGCAACAAGTTTGACTTAGATTAGACTGAAATTGGTGGTAGTGCTCTTTTCCAGAGCAGAACTTTAAAACCATTCACTATTTCTTCACAAAACTTGTCACATAAATAGATCTGGTGGTCTACTGGTGCCTTTTGGTAGTTTTGGATTTCTGAATATAATATATTTTGCATTTCCATGGCAACAAGTTTGACAGACTGAAATTGGTGGTAGTGCTCTTTTCCGGAGCCGAACTTTAAAACCGTTCAATATTTCTTCACCAAACTTGGCTCATAGATAGATTTGGTGGTCTACTGGTGCCTTTTGGTAGTTTTGGATTTCTGAATAAAATATTTTTTGCATTTCCATGGCAACAAGTTTGACTTTGACTGAAATTTGTGGTAGTGCTCTTTTCTGGAGCAAAACTTAAAAACTGTTCACTGTTCCATCACGAAATTTCATACATAGGTAGGTCTAGTGGCGAACTGGTGCCTTTTGGTAGTTTTTGATTTCTGAATAAAATGGGGTTCTTTTTTGCATTTCCATGGCAACAATTTTGGCTTCAACTGAATTTGGTGGTAGTGCTCCTTTCTGGAGCAGAACTTTGAAACTTTTCAGTACTCTCCTTCCACTTAGCTATATACACACCAAAACATTTGACATAATCATAACTCGTAGACATATTCATGAAGAGTATTTTGCCATTGCGGGGGATATTGATGACTTTGTCTTCTTGTCTTTCTGTTTCCAGCTCCTTGTACAGAAGCTTCAAGAGAAACAATGGCGCCTCATCTGCACATGCTCAAATGCCGACGTGAAGGCTGCCATCAGCTTCCTAGTTGCTAAGATACAGAGGTTGTAAGTATCAGATGAAATGAGCATCTACCAGTATATAGCCAGTAACACCATGTTAGCAACTGATTCTTTCACATGTGGTGCAAAGATTGCCTGACAAATCCATGCATATATCTAAAGAGGGAATATAAGCTCAGTAACTGCAGTCTCTGACGTAGGTCTAAAGTCAAGTGATCGACTATGTTTGTTCAACTGATAATTGGCTTTACAACACTAAACTGGAAATGATGGTAAGTGCCAAGTTTGGGTAAACAGACTAAAGCACTTGGTTCTAAACAGTTTTAAAATATTCCTCAGTACTTCATGGCTAATAAACCCCAGTAATAGCATGCATTCTCCTCGCTAATGCTAAATGCATTCCCTGATGCTAAATACTGAGGTATTGTTTCTTGAATAGAGTTCATTCCAATGCCATGTTAAGGCTGGAATATTGCTAAAACTGGTGGGAAGTTCTACTTTCAAACTGACTATGGTTTGAGATTTTCTGATGGCTGACCTTGTGTTTTCAGTTGTAACAGTAACTCCAAGAGTCCAAGCCCGATCAAGGTTGGAGTAGCGGGCGGAGACTCGTACATCAACTCAGTACTCAGACCCTATGTGGAACAACTGGCCTCCAAGTCACATGACTGGCAGACGTACACAAAATTTCTAGTCATTCCATTTGGTAAGTCTAATGACACTGTTTTGTTGGCCTTGTAGAACGACTTTGTTCATCTGGGGTTAGATTCCCCACATGGGCATGATGTGTGAAGTTCATTAATTGTGTCCTCTTGTGTTATGGCAGGACTATCTCTATAAGTAGCAAACACGTACTGGTTTATCATCTGATGTGTTCTGTGGTTGTGGGTAGTCAAATTGGTCTGTCTCAGCATTATCTAGTTTTCCAGCTGGATTAAGGATGAATGTTGGTACTTCATAAGGATATAAGCAACCTGATGCAACAATAATGCTGAGGACCGCCTCCGTGGTGTAGTGGTTAGAGCGTCCGCCCGGAGAGCGGAAGGTCGTGGGTTCGATCCCCGACCGCGTCATACCAAACGATGTTAAAATATGGTACTTGTTGGTCCCTGCCTGGCGTTCGGCATTAATGGGTACAACAAGGACTGGTCGGCTCGGAGTCAGTATAATGTGTCTGAGTGGGGTATTCATGCTTCACTGCGGCGTGGTATCTCAGTGGGCTAGCACTATAAAACCAGCTTCAGTCTGGGCTAGTACAAGCAGCCACACATACACATACACACGCATGCACGTCGTCATATGAGCGAAATATTCTCAAGCACGACATTAAACCCAATTTCACCTCACCTCACCTCAGAGCATGCATGTGCATGCATGTACTCCTGTGTGTGTGTGCCCTTCTGTCCGTCCTCATGACAGTACTGACTGTGGTTGGTGTGTTTGCAGGTAGTAGTTTAGTGGGGAAGTATCTTGCCAGTATAGACAGCACCTACGCACAACTGTTTGTCGACTCCCTGTGGAAAGACACCTTTGACAAGACAGATGCAACGAAACCTACACTGGGTGAGTACTTATTTCATGAGAGTTCTGTAACTTGCATATTTGTCCATCTTATATGTTTATCCCAGCTGTAACATCCATGTGTGCAACCTTGGGGATAATGGGTTAGATGTTGTCTCCATGAACCTGGGCTTGTCATAAGAAGAAACTAAATTAATCTGATTGTCATGACTTTACTGTATGGTTAAGAACCCAGATTCATTCATTCTCTTCATTCAGCTATTTAATATGAGCTAACATGACCTCATGGAGACCCAGTTTAGACTGGAAGCTTAGCACTCTTTAGTTTGTCCAAAAGGCAACTAGAGTTGATCAGATGGTTAAGGATTGCATTTCATTGTACTCCTGGCACATTGGACATCAACCATGTCAGCTATTGGTTTGTCTGGACCAGACATTTTAGTCATGCTATATTGAATTGATTGAATATTGATGACTACAGCTTAAAGCAACAGAGAACATGCAGACAAGTAAAATGTGAAGCTTAGTTTGCTATGTTGATGGTTGTCCTGTTGCAGATTCCCAAGAGATCATCAACCGGGTCTCCAAGTACCTGAGTGGATCGACCAGCATCCACCAGATGCCCATCGCAGAAGCCATGGTTATGTGCAAGGGCAAAACGTATGTTGTCTCTTTTTAAATATTCTTGTTTCAGTTTTGACACTTTATAAAATGTGGTTGCTAGCACCTCAACTCTGACCTACAAAACATAAACCATTTGCTTCTTTTGTTTGTTTTGTTTTTTCCAACAGTTGATTTCATAAAATGTAAGGTGTTTCAGCAGCATTCAATATTTAAAGTAAGGGAGGCTTTGTGTTAAAATTGTAACAGATTTCATGAATCCCTTTAGTAAAAATCTCGGTCAAGAACCCTCAAATCATGATGTCTTTGCTGCCCCCTCTCACCCATAATCTTCATCTCTACCCATAATCTTCATCCTCTACACTGTCTGTCTCTTTGGTTCCACAAGTGAAGGTAATGGATGAGGTTAGAAGTTGAGTCTTCAGCCAGATTTTACTTTGATTAATTAGTACTTCCTAAGTGTAAGTGTGAACTCAAATCTCTCTTTGGTTCCACAGGTAAGTCTTCCTCAGCTAACATGGGTAATTCTCTGCTTATTAGAAGTATTGGGCCTCAAGATGGAGTCAGGCCATCTTCAGCCAAGTGTTTTTTATTACTGAGTGACATTTTTATTAATGAAAAGACAGCATCCAAGATATGACCATCCATGGTAGAGCAATTGACAAGTCTAACAATTAAATTGTGGCTTCGTTTTGTATTTTTCGTAACAGGGATTGTCTGTGGATTGCTTTGATATAACAACCTTATTTTTATGACCTGACAAAAGATCTATCTGTTATTTCAATTCACATGAATAATGTTTTTTATCAACTGGACTACAAAGTGATGCGTTTTTTTTTTAAGGAGGTGAAGATTGGAACCCCAGAAACATTTAGCATGTCGGGTGAGTCTTGTGTTGTAACATAACTAACATTGGTAGTGTCTACTATAGATAAGGAGTTAAACAATGCTATCTTTCCATAGGACTATAGTTTGTCATGTGGGCTAAACTACTCGAAAAAGGTTCAAAATCATACGATTTGTTTATATAACTCTAGTTACTTTTTCATATGAAACAAATTGGCTATCTTTAACATCTTTTAAGTTGAGTCATTTAATATTTTATATCGCTACAAGGGGTGGGGTAGCCTAGTGGTTAAAGCTTCGACTCGTCACACGAAGACCGGGTTGAATCCCCACATGGGTACTCAGTCCGTCAGTATATCGCTACAACTATTGGAAACATTAGGACAGTTGCCATGACATGTTATTGTTTGATTTGTGTTTTATAGTTGAGCTGGAGGAAGGTGCTACCAGTCCCCCTAGTCTGTCAAGTTCCCCTCCAGCCTCCGCCCCCATAGCTATCAAGGCCAGTGAGGGTCAGACCCCTCCCAGCTCCCCCAACATCAGCACCATGTCTCCATCAGGGAGGTAAGTCCACACTGTCCACACAAGTGTTAGTATGTTAATGAGTAACCCATGAAGATCCGGGTTAGAATTGTCTTCAGCAACCCATGCTTGTCATAAGAGGCGACCATCGCTAACAGGTGGTTATGCTTGTTGACTTGGTTGACACGTGGAGAATGCTGTTACCTCTCACTGGAAACCCTGTGCTATATCCTATCAAGCTCCCCAAATGTCAGCACCATGTCTCCATCAGGGAGGTAAGTCACAAGTGTGGCCCAGCTGTTTCATTTGCCACACTGCACTGTGTAGAGTTGAATCATTTGGGCATGCCAGAAGTCTGATTGTTGGTTCACAAAGATCATGTTTCCTTATGTGCTTGTTGGAGATATCTTGGAGAGGTATCAGTACAGGCTTTTCATCCAACATTGAGCTGACAAACTCACTCACTATATAAGACAGACAGACAGTCTCAAAAACAGGGACTGTGGGGTAGCCTAGTGGTTATGGCGTTTGCTTGTCATGCTGGAGAGCTCGGTTCGATTCCCCACATGGGTACAATGTGTGAAGCCCATTTCTGGTGGCCCCACTGTGATATTGCTGGAATATTGCTAAAAGCAGCGTAAAACTAAACCCACTCACTGTCAAAAACAACTAAAGCATAATGTTTTAAGAATATGTTTCCTGTTTCAGTCAAAATGCAAACATCGGTCAGTTGTCGTCGGCAGAGTTCATGGAGCTGCAGGTGGACTACTGGACAACTTCCAGCAAGTCTGACAGCAAGAAGGAGAGCAACAAGTGCTCGCTGAAGACGGCATTCCGCTCCCTCAGTGTCTGTCGTCTTCCGTACCAGGGCGAGCAGGCATCCTCTTCCTTCAGCATGGTTGTGGTCACTCGGGAGAAGAAACGGGAGAAGAAACAGAAGAGTGAGTTGACACAGATGAAGTCTGGAAACTGGTTTATTTCAGTCGACACTGATATATTTTAAACAAGAAGTACCCTGTGTAGATTCCAGGTTGGATGAGGTCCCAAGCAACTGTTGGTGGTTGTAAGAGGTGCCTTCTTGGAACAGCTTCAGTGACTGTTGACAGCATGTCCACCAACAGTATTGATTATTGCTCTAGATATCGTTCAGAGTCCTGTTGAAACTCAAATATTTCGAGGCAACTGGCATATATGTGATATATATTCCTGGTGTTCGACAAGTAAATAATTTTATATGTACCATTCAATTTATAGAAGGGTTGAAAGTAGATGTGTGCAACTTTGATGTCATTATGTATCCTGTTGAACATGTTCTTTTATCATTCCAGTTATGAGGATCGGGAAGAAAGCCAAAGAAATTGAGTCCAAAAGCCAAAACATTGACAGTATCAGTCGACTTATTTGTACTTCCAAGAGCCAGAATTATTCTCTGAAAGGTATGGTTGCGTTTTAAACTTTATTAATGCTACTCTTACCTCTGAAGAGGTTTAGAGTGGTGGGGTAGCCCAGTGGTTAATGCATTTGCTCATCACACCGAAGACCTGGGTTCGATTCCCCACATGGGTACAATGTGTGAAGCCCAGTTCTGGTGTCCCCTGCCGTGAAATTGCTGTAATATTGCTAAAAGCGGTGTAAAACCCAACTCATTCACTCACTCTGAAGAGGTTTGTAGCTCACCTTCAAATAACACAGCCTAGAGATCAGTAACAGGGGAATGTATAACCTTCTGAACAACAATGAATTGTTATTGAAAGGAAACTCCACGGTTCTTGGTTTGAACACAAGGCATTACAACAAACAATCTGGGCCCCCGTTCCTCAAAGCGATCATAGCGATAAGATGATCGTAACGCCCATACTTTAACATAGACTTACAACTGTCGTAGTGCTACGATCGCTTTGAGGGACAAGGCCCTGGTGCCAAGTCATATTGTAATACCCTGAACAATTTGCAATCTGGTCAAAATTAGCCTGATGTCTAATTGAATGTCATAGGCATGAGCTGTTAACAGCTACAAATTTGAAGAGCTAAAGCTTGGGGTATTAGACTCTTGATTGTCACATACAGTCTGCATGCATTTACTATAGTAAACAGTTCTTCAGATGACTAAGATATTGTTGCTGCTGCTGCAGGTGACAATACTTATCACTTATACACTGTCCTTGCTATCCCCTACAGTGATGGAGGAGAACCCTGCAGGTTTGCCCACCATGTTCATGGCAGGTTTGCTTCTGTCATGGTCATGTGATGTGTTTTCCTCCATCACTTGGCTTCTGTAACTGATGTAAAAGGCAAGATATATTTGCTCCTATAAACACAGTTCAGTGTTCCATGATTGGCATTTAGTAACTGCTGAATATGGCTTTACCCATATTATGGTAGGGACATTAGAAACATGGTGAAATTTGTACCCATTGTGGAATCTGGATCTTTGACTGATGAAAAACAGGCTACCTTGCCTTCTGACATTATAAGTTATCACATCGTGTCGGGGAAAATACAGGGTTTTATCAGTCCCGAGTAAGGTTGTACACAACCTTACGAGGTACTGATAAAACCCCGTATTTCCCGAGCCACGATGTGATAATGCATTTATCTAGCTGAATGTTTTTACTAAATGAAAAGAAAAGAAAATTCTCAGTTGTTGTGGCAAAACGTTTCCTTGCTGCCATGTTGACACCAGCTGATCGATTGACCTTAATGCAGCGCACGTTACTAAAGGCTTGGCGATGCACGCTTTTCTCACTTCGCGTGGTCACCGAGGCGTGGCGGGATAATATGACTTTTGTACTCCCTGCTCCGCGGATCGTGACGGGTGTACATGGTATTTTATCAGAGTCACGTGAACCAATCAAAACTCAACATTCTTACATGAGGCTGGATAATGTACTTTGACAATTGTGTATCAAACTCTTCACCTTACAGATATCTCTGTTTGACATTCTTCTCTAAACATTGTTTGTCATTTTCAGTGGTGATCGATGGAGTGGAATGGCCAGGTGTGAAGTTTTTCCAGTTGTCATCTCAGTGGCAGACGCACATAAAGAACTTCCCAGTGGCTGTGTTCAACTCGTACGACTCGGTGTTATAGACAGCAGCAGCAGCAGGCTACTGATGGTCAGTAGGTGATAAGCTATCAACCATGGCTCTCGGCATTATCAGGACCTTCATCTCACCAGTGTCTAACTGGAACATGGCTTGTGACTGAATGTTGGCATTTGAAGCAAGAAGATGGAGATGTGTGAAATCAGCTGGGTATTTGTACTGGAGGTTGATGATGAAGGTAGTTGTTTCTGTGCAACACTCAACTTGGACCAGGGCTGCTTTAGCTCATAGCGTTATGTTTGACGGAGATGACGATTTTGTGTGTCCTATATGGCTGCTTCCATACATCTGTTTTATAATAGCAAATGACACTTGCTAACTGGCTTTAGCTCGGAGTGGAACACTGAAGAAACAAATTATTTTGTGTCAGTGTTGGGAGATCCCAACATGGCTGCTTCCATGCGTCTGATTTTGTGTATAGCAGACGACACTGGAATTGATTTGATCTGAAACTCTAGTGATATTGTATTCAGCCATTACAGTCTCAGCGACATAGAACTGTGTGACCCAGTCTGTCCGTTCGTCTGTAGTCTGTGTTGGTAATATCATCACACCAGCTTTTCGTCTGCTAATTTAGGTGTGATGTAAATTGGTGCCTAGTGATTATCACACCCCAAAACAGTGCGCCAGAATAACTGGTTTGTTGGAAGGGAGTAACACATGCTCATAGCATCTCACGCACATGCTGCTGTCCTTTAGACAGCAGTGCTTTCCCTGAGGCTTGCTTGTGCTACACCAGTGCTTTCCCGGATGCTTGTGCTCCATCAGTGCTTTTCTTGCATCCAAGGAGGAGAAAGATCTTTGTGCTTTCATTGTTGCGAGCAGGTCTGGTGTATGTTCTGCTCACAATGTACTAAACTGGTAGTATTCTCAACTCTGTGTCTTGAACCAACATCATGTTTCTAATTCCCAATGCCTTTTTTCTAGATTCAATTTGAATTTATTCATACCTGAAGGAAAGAGGTTTTACCAAAGAATGAAGAGAAATCCTCTGGGATTCACCGGCCATTGGAGGAGAATAAGCTAATGATGGTGAATCACCCTGTGTGATCATTCTTCCCACAGTCAAACATATTTGCATATTATTGTGTTTACACCAAGGCAATAACTAACACTTTAATTTTAATTCATGGATTTTCTAACTTCACGACCTACATTGCTTAGCAATCCTCCTGTAACAACTGGTTCCTGTTATTGGCAGTTATATTTGCTCCTCGAAAGATGTTCGCGACCAATTGATCTTTTATGTTATTGTAGTCAATCTGTCATATTGATATGAAAGAATCCGGTTGTCCTTAACTTATTTTGAGTAGGTTTCATGCATAAGCCATGTTTTCTGTTTTGTACCCTTTAGAGTCTATTTATAATCAGTTTCAAACCAACACATGTTTTTCATGGGCTCTTTTCCAAAACTCAGTCTTTAAAACAATCAGTCCTTACTAAATTTCCCCATCGATAGCCATTTGTAGTTATTTGTTTCAATGTTCCAACATTTCTTCCTGCAATGTCTACTTGCCATGGTATCAACATATGACCACTCGTATGATAACAACAGCACTATTGCATGGACATCTAATATGTAATTATGTTAGCTACCCGTACTCAGCAGACGGCTGTTTGTGACTATTTGACCATGAGATGGATACTTATAGCCTTGTCAATGCTTGTGCTACACCAGTGCTGGGTCATTTTCAGGAATCCTGATGATCTAGATTTGGGTTTTAGGGCTTTTTTTTTTTTGGTCTCTTTTTTTGTCTTCTTCATTCTCATTCTCTTTCACTTTTTATTATTTATTTCTTCTTTTTAGGGGAAGGGAAGTTGGTCGTCATTGACAATATGTTGCAGACGACCATAACCTTTGAAGCAGTGGTATAATATAATAGTTCTCAGAGGAGGTGCACCAGTTGACTCAAACATGATTTTATTACACATGAAATCAGTCTTAGAGCTTTGATTGTATGTAAGTTTACTGGGTGCTGTTGTACAGCTCATCCTTAGTGTTATGACTGTCATCAGTCTGTGTTAAGGTATGGGAGTCACAATCACCTGTACAGTGGCACCCAGGAGTGTCATCTTAGTGCTGTGGTTTTGAACCGAGACCCTTGCGTGTTGAAGTCTACCTATCTTTCTTATGGGCTAGCTGAATCAAGGGTTCTTTGACAATCTTGGTCAAGATACAATATATGTATCTCTTTTTCAGTTTATAACAGCTTTAAATATGTGTTGTTATGGAAACCAACATCAAAGTGATATTAAGTCCCACCGAAATACATTTAGACATTGATCTGCCAAAACGTCAGTGATTATTGTCAGTGCTCTTTGATATCTGCAATCTTACAGTTCACTGGTGTAGAGGGACTAGAAATGTCTGTGAATTATGCTGTATTATCAGGGTGCGGTTTCGCTATTTACAACCTGCACTGGTGCATGGTATCAATGGGTGGAGCAGGTTACCTTCAGTAACAGGTTGCACCCAGTGCAGGTAACAATAAATCCTCCAACATCTTGTTGAGCGGTGGGGTAGCCTAGTGGTTAAAGCGTTCGCTCGTCACGCTGAAGGCCCGGGTTCGATTCCCCACATGGGTACAATGTGTGAAGCCCATTTCTGGTGTCCCCTGCCGTGATGTCGCTGGAATATTGCTAAAAAGCGGCATAAAACCATACTCACTCACTCCAACATCTTGTAGCTGTCATCATGTCTTTCTCTCCACGTGTTACAGGAACATTTGTGTATTCATAAATCAGTTACGTAGCAATCATCATGGGGTCAGATTCTGTTGAATGTATCTGATACTGAGTACTTGTTATGAAAATAGCTAAACAAATATTTATGTTACTTTTTAGAACCAGTGACATTATTGTATGGTGCGACCCATATTTTGATGGTGCAGTCAAACCCATACACCAGGTTGCACTCAGTGTAGGTACTGAAAAAAATCACAAAATCGCGCCCAGATGAACAAAAAACATTCACATTTGTTGGATAGGTACAATTCTGGTTGAGTTCTGCTAGTCTCAGCACTGCACACTGTGTGAGTGCAACAACTATCCAGCTCCTATACTTAGTTCCAGTCTGATATATGGTTCATATACTCCAGGTGTAAATACTGACAGTCTTGCATTCTCCATGAATTCATATCACAATAGCAGGGGCAGGCAAATGTTGCAACAAGCATGGTTTCCTATAGCCGATCAAGGACAGTTATGCTAGAACATTCCATGAAGGGAACAGAAACATCATCAATATTGCTCTTTATCTTCAATAAATCATTTCCTCCAAGCAACCAGTACATGGATATTAGTGCAAGGTCGTGCCCAACTCAAAAGCATTACTATTTTTCTCCTAAAACAGATTCATTTGACATGTTTCTCATGAGCAGTGATTAGAAACTTGTTTGTCAAACATTGTAGAAAGTTGTTTTGATTTTGATTTTATTGTGTTATGTTATTTTGCTTTTGTACATGATTTTTGTTGTTTTAAGTGCTTAGGGAATTGTGCAATATGATCCCATCTCCCTGTGTGTACATAGGTTCTGATATGATGGAGGGAACAGTTCAGTTGAGGAGCTTCCTTCTTGGTGATTTCATTGTTCTGTGAATTAACAAGCATTATTACTCCAGATTTGTGTATAAACTATTTATTGGACTATTTGTTTGATATGTTTACGATTATGAAGTTAAGGATTTATTTACTGACATGATGCATGGTACAATAATGAATTCTCTATCTCATCACTTGGAAGACGACCCTTACATTGAGGATGTTGTTTACTGTTCACTAAATGTGGACGAACAGCATTAAGTTTACAAATTACTGATTTAGATAGGTTAATTGTTTCTATTAATTTTGTCATATTTTTCTCGATGAAGAAAACTTTGCTGTCCTATCCAGTCCACAGCAACCACAAAGACATGACAGCAGTGTGTACTACTTGCAAGAAGTTAAACAACAGACAATTCTTTCATGTTATTACTAATGTTTTGATAAAATGCCAGGTACATGTATCTTGTTTCAAAATGGCCATCAACCTGTATAAATTGTTCCCAACTCTATTTTTTGGTACCAGTATTAAAATGTCAGTGTATTTCTGATTAATATTAGGATTATTGAATGAATTTATTTTGTGGAATAGCTGTCAATTAGTCTCTTGTGATGCTGTTGTGATAATATTGGGCGACTTTTAAGATGTAAAATTGGATAAACCCTGGTCATATTGCCAACACCAATATATCCAGTTGGCATGTCATGCATTTGGCAGTTGTGTAATGAAGAGGAATTGAGTCAATCATGACAATCATTGTGTAATTGGACTTGCTATTTTTGCTGTGAACTGTTTTTATTCACAAGATTTGACAGTGATGATATTATTTTGGAGAAGGAATGAAATGGAAAATGTTTAGAGGCAGGTGCTAGCAGAGACAATGTTAATGTTTACAAGATGTAAATTGAGGAAGGGCATGTTTGGTGGCATTGTGCCCATCATTGTGAAGAATTCTGGTGCTTTAATGGAGGATACTGAAGCAGGGTAGAAAACTCATGAGGCTTATTTTGGTTAATATACAACCCAAAAGAAATTAAGGACCACCCAATATAACTACAGTTTATCTTTCATTGCTTGGGGTGGTCCTTAATGTTTTTTGAGTAGTATATGTGCCCTATAGAGATTTCATGGCATTGATTTGATGTATCCCATAGTTGTAGCCTTGCAGTAAGAATTCATGATTTGGTTGTCTTCATTTAGTTGCAAATTCCACATCAAGTTGAAATCCTTAAATCCATCATTAAAATTCATCCAAATATTTCTCTTGGTTCTCATTTCCATCCTCATCCTTTGTCCAAAATACTGCAGATTCTTGACCTTGCAATATTCTTTGTTCACGGCAAGGGCAGGTAACTCTAAACATATCTTTGTGGCATGGCTGAATACATTTAACTGAATACTTTTAAACTAAATACTTCTAAACCATCAAAAACTGCATAGCACATCTATTTCACAGAAACCCCCAATCATATTCTATTCAGATTTTTGCAAGTTAGTGCTTTTCCTTACCCAAATCTACCTTAACCCAACAATGCTTTCCAAGCAAAGTGATCATTTAGGGCACAGGATGTTGAACAAGTCAAACCCAATGCTGCACACCAATTGTACTTTGTGATTCCATTTTTGTCCCATTTTTTACTATCTGAAGTCACTAGCTCATGTATCTCTACCTTGCGTAACTCTGAACCAGGGCTCGATTTAGTGCTTTGTTACTTGCACTAGTGCAACCCAATATTACAAAGTGCAACTAGTTATTAGTCTAACTTGCACCAGCTGCAAGTCAAGTTTCGAGTAATAAATCAACAATAAATCTTTAAGCAAAAATATGTCAGCTCATATTCTTGTAAACTTTGAATAGCAATGGCAGCAAAACATTGCTATTTATAGACACCTCTTGGTTATGACTGGAACTGGCACCAGCTATGTCTGTGTTGCTATGTTCCATAGGTACAACATCATGGAAATATGTGCACCGAAACCTCTGACGTTTTAACACACTACGTTGCAACTGGAATTTGGCTGGTGCAACTAGGTTTATATCTTAGGTTGCTCCTTGTCCAAGTCGGTTAACATGTCTTAAATCGAGCCCAGTGAACATTGTTTTTACTTAAAGTAGTGGAAAATAGCTCATCACCCACTTACATATCAATAATATTATATTGTAGCCATCTTGTCATTGCCTTCTTATGTACTCAAAAACCACAGAACACTAATTATTGCAATATGTCAGTCACCCGTGCAGGCTGAACACTTCAAATCTTCTACTGTTAACTATTATTGCAAGTGCATGTGAAATACATGCATATGTTTGTAAAGGTTTCAAAATAGATCTCAATATTATTACTTAGGTTCAAGCCTCTGAATCAGCTTGACCATATTTGATCCTGTTCGGAGTAGTTTGACCTCTTCCATTCACACTCTGTAAACAAGGCTTCTTGTACGGTGATGAAAGCTGATCCCGATGTGGCATTCTATATTTAATGACATTGATTAACTTGTTTCATAGTCTCTTTGTAGAATTATGTACTGTGTATATATGATTGATAATTATTTAACATTATTGGAATCTGTTTTACCTTTGAGGACAGGTTATATTTGTCCGAAGAACTTCCAGAGTCAGTGTCGATACCGACTTGACGGACATGTCAAAAATGTTCTATACAAAGTGTATACAGACT